AATATTGAAATATCTCCAATCTCTCTTCCATCTCTTCTCGTATTTCGCTTTTACCTCCACCTACTCCAGTTGATCCCAATTTCCTGTTTTTCCTCATCTTCGAGAAAATAATTACAGAACAGAGAGGTAGAAGAGGACAATTCGAAATTTATTGACATCCGTGTACATTGACGCTCCCTCCCGGAAAATCAATAGGAAAACTCGTTCAACCCTCCGGGGGGGGGGGGGGGGCTCAATAAAAAGTTTTCCCAAACGGTTGAAATATACTAGAACTAGCATGAAGAAAAAACTTCTCGAGGGGAAGCGAGACAGAAGTTTAATTCCAATTTTCCCACTGCGTTTGTAATTAAAGAATTCATTCGATACAACCAATCACCGAAGCCCTTCATTTATTCTATACATACACAATACACAATACTCTAAATATTCCATTAACCGATTCAGTAATCCCTGATAAAAGGGACGAGTTACTGCTTCGGGGTTCGATAATTTGAAATAATCGTTGTGGGAATTATTTGATGGGAAAGAATTACCGGTTGGTGGAAATTTCCTGAGGAATTTAGCTTTGAGATGAAAATTTGAGCATTTTCCATCCACCGCAAGTCTATTCAAATGACTCTAGCCGTTAAGCCGCTTTTCTCTAACGCTCCAGAGTGACTAACTCCCCTTTTCACCCAGAAAATGCCAATGGTGGTGATATCAAATGCAGATTCACGAGTCAACAGAATTGAGATTCACGGACTCGTGGGATTCGTGAGCAATTGAAGAATAGCCAGGCGTGAAATTCAGATTCACACTCGGACGGATTATTTATTCCGCTGGAATGGAAACTTTCGCGGAGAATAAAAATTTGTCACCAAGTTTCAACTTCCTGGAGCTTGCCGAAGGTGTCGTATGCTTAGAGAGTTCCGCTTTGTAAATTATCACGTCTTTTCACCCGACAAATTCATGTCTTGTTTGCTTTCAACTCCTCTTCGTGGCTTTTAACATTTCTCCATATTTTTCTTTCCCCTTTCTTCTTTTATCGATAACATTATCCGTAAACGTCAAATTCATGGAAAATTCGGGTCATGGTCACTTTTGTCCCTCAGCTCTTGTTTATTCCTGGGAATTTCTGGTGACACGTGGATTATGTTCTCACGTTATCGCATGTACCGTAAATCTCCCATTTACGTTCTATTTTTTTTTATCCACCGAAAACACGCAGTTGGACGCCATCAGTGCATTATAAATACGGAATCGTGATTTTATCGCAATTTCTGAGATTTTCACAGCATCTAATTCCAATATTTTTCCTCGGGGTATCGCTTTGAAGGTGGTCCAAAATTCGTCATCAGAATATAAGTCGAAAAATAAACAGAGTAATAGTGCAATTCGAGAGACGTTTATCCTTCGTGCTGTCGTTAAAATCTTAATTACCAAAACACATTTCGTGGCTTTGGGGGTGGGGGAGTGTCGGCACCAGCTACACCAATTTCAGGGAAATTTAATGACGACAAAGTGCCGGGGTTTATTTCTTATCAGTGGATATTAATTTCAAGGACGCACGTCCGTTTGATTTTATCACAGTATTTTTGAATTTTATCATATTATTTTTTAAATTATTAATCCGGCCCTCAACATTTTTCCCTATTTATTTCAAGTTGCATCTAAATCTGATATTTTTTTTAAATTTTTCACTTCAATATCATGATTTAATTCTGCGGATTAAATTTCAACTTTCCAAATAAACTCGTAAAAATTAACAAATCAATATTTTTTATGAATACATTTTTTTAATGCCCGGATATTGACGTTGAAATTTGAATTCTGAAAATTGTACGCAAGTTGACAGTGAAAATTCGGACTGGATAGATTTTTCTTGCGGCATCGAAATTCACCCGAGAGAGTAATTTTTTTTTATAGTGTCAGTTGTTGGAAAATGGCCCGGGGCTTTTCGTGGGGAGAAAAACACCCGATGTCTGTGTTTTTTCCCTCCACATGTCGCCCACCCTTTTGCCCCCCTTTTTCCCTTTTTTTTATTAAGGAACGTTCAGTGTTTTGTCACCGCTGAATAAACTACCTGGATAATTTCTCAGTTCCAGCGATAAATTAACGTTCCCCTGGAAAGCTCTAAAGTACTGATTTATTTCATGCTCGAGTTTTGGGATCTTCCAGACAATATTTACGGTATTTTTCTTCGTTACACTTCACTAACGGGATTTTTTGAGAAACTTCGGGTGAGGGAATTGAATTCTGTAGTCGAGTGGAAACTCGCGATTGGCTCGGCAAACCGTGAAGAATTTATTGTCGATATCTTAAATACCGCCTGGAGTAATGGACAATGTTTTTTCTGGAGGAGAGGGTAAAGATAAAAATATTTTCCAAGTCGTTATGAATTTTCGGGGTGACTGGAAAGAGTAAACCAGTGTATTTTATAATTAGTTTTCGAGTGAAGTTTATTTAAATAAGAAAAATTATAGCAGAATTATTTAAGAAATAATAAATGAATTGAGAAATGATTTGTCGTGCAAATAAAATCGGGTCGCCAGCTCTTTTCAGGGCTATTAAATTCCCAAAAATGAATTCAATTTCCTCGATTGTTCAGAACAACTGAATGACGCAATTGTCAATAAAATAAAGATCAATAATGCGACAAAGGGTAAAATAATACGCATTGTTGTGGTGCAATTTCGGCAGAACGCCAGCTGGTAACGAGAAATCCACTGCGACGTGACTCATTATTTCCCCCGGATTATTATGCGCGAGGTCTGGTCCCCCGTTAATTAATTGGCATGGAATGAGGGATAGACAAGGGATACATCTAATTACCGCATGTTCTCCAGCGAATTACACACGCTCATTGCGCTACCAAAAAAATACGAGAGATCCGCTTGAATCGAGTGTAAAAATCCCTTTTTTTTCAACAATTTGTTTAGCGGGAAACGTACCTTTTCGGGAAATGCGTGAAACGGTAATGAGGAAAAATGGCGAGGCGAATATGTCGGTAATTTATGCCGGACAATTCATGTTAACATGCCACTGGGTTTTGCCGGATAATTTCGTTTCCGGGGCATTTGAATGTAACAAATGATCCACTTGATGAAATCATTTTGTATTCCGTCATGCGCCATCCGGAAATTCAGCACATGAATCAATGTCAATCGGATTTTATGGTACCGGAAAATTTGTGGGAATTGATTATCGTTATTCTGTAATTACTGGTGGCCAATTATTCTCACGAATTTTTTATTATTTCCAACTCCAAACCAACGGACAATTACTCCTGATAAATAAAAATATTTTTTTTTCATTTTCCTGAATAAATTTTTAGATTCAGAAAGCACAAGTTGTAACTGCAGATGAACTCTAAATTATTCAAACAAAAAACGAATTACAGATTTTTGGATTACTTATCGTTAATGACAGCATCTCGTAATGGATAATGATGATTATGAAATGTCATGAATATTTCGATTCAATTTCCGGAATATCACATCTGAAATATCCCGGAATCCGGCGTTGGTTCTATTAATCCAATTGAGTGCTCATAATGCTCTTGTTATTGAATGTAACCCACAGATTTCCGAATGATTACAAATTTACGATTGCTGATAACTCATAAGCATCCACATCCTGCCCAATGATTACACCTTCACACACGTTTATTCAACATAACGATCTCCTGCGTCATAAATTCCCGGCATAAAGAACCAGATCTGGTCGATTATTTGCTCAACCATGTGTACGAAAATTGCGTAAACAAGGGGATTAAGAGGTTTTCCATAGTCTGTTTAAACAGCGTACATTTCTGCATGGCCCAGCAAATTGCTCGATTGAATGACTCGAAACTCCAATATATCTCAATGAAACACGCAAATTCATTTTGCAATTCGAGAAAATCCACACTATCACTAAATTCCGTGGAATGAAACCCTGAATAAATATTATCCAACACAAATGGTTAATAATTAAATTGGAGAATGCATACAAGAGAGATGAGAATGTTAAAGCGAGGAATGACGGGATCTGGTGGAAAAATAAAAGGTAGACGAAAACCTGAAGAGAAAACAGCCCCTGGTGATGTGGGGTTGTAGTTTCTCGCCTTGAACTTCGCCATATTATTCCAATCCCCCGGTGTTACTCGTGTGTATACGTCCCTCGTATACGATGAGACGAATAATAAACGGCTTTCTCGAAAATTTTGTGCCCGGGAGGCTAATACGTATGGGTTGTTTTGCTTTTAGACCCCTCATGCTCAAATACACACCGGAGACTCTCCCACTCCCTTTTATTCTCATCCCCGAGCTCGTATGATCAGATTAAATTATTTCTTCAAACATCAACTTCATTTAAAATTCCAATTTCATTATTTCCCCCGAAAAATGCAACCCCCAGTTAAAAGGAAATGATCATTAGATTATTATAAATGAAAATAATTTTATTAGAATAATCTAATGGCTTGGGTAGGGGAATGGATTATTTTTGGATGGATAACTTGATGGTTGGACCTAACGAATTAGGAGTGCAATAAATTCCGCAAAACATGTTCAATTTCGAGGCATTCAATTACTGAACAGTCAATTGCCTCCGGCTCAGACAACACGACAGCAAAACTCCAGTGACTTATATCCACACCACTTCTTCGGACGTTAATTGCTCCATGACCAAGAATTATAGCCGATAAAACTGCCCACGACAATTTCGATTGCAGACCCCTTCCTTGGAGCAAGTGCTAGTGGTTTATCGATGGATGAACCTGTTTCTCTGGGGAAATGCACACTCAACCGTCCAGCAACGTGGTACCTTGAATAATTCAGGACCTCGTCTTCGGGACGTCCGGACCGACGCCTTAAATGCCTTCCAAATAATTCCCAAAGAAATGTCACTTAAATGAACATTAATTGATTAATAATCCAAGATCAATTAAAAATGTTTTGCGCTATTTTTGGATTCTCAGGAATGACTTACTCAATTTTTTTCACAGATCTCTCATAATTTTTCTTCTTGTATTTTTCCAGAAAGCACGACTCGCGAGGATTAGGATTGCGAAGGCATCGAGTGGTGCAGCATTTGTGAGCAAAAAGAAGGCAGCAGAGGCGAGAATTGCAGCAGCAGAGAGTGGAATGCCAACTGACGATTACAAAGAGGAAGACATATTTGAGCTGCAGCACCATCACCTTCTCAGATGTCTGGAGAAAACAACGGTAAGTATTCCAAATGACTTTAGCAACTTTCCTGGAGGAGATTGTCGTGTCACTCTGCCAAAGTACCCATGAGCGATAACAATTCTTCCAGCTATTCCAACACTTTTACCCAGGAGTCAACTTAATCTTGCTTGATATTACGGTTCCAAATCCGGTGGAAATTCTGTCCTCTGTTTACGCTGATGTTTAATTGTAGTTGATGTTTGTCAGTGGAAACTACCGCTGGAGTCAATTTCCAGGGTTCTCTGGTGCATGATGCTTATTGCGACAACTGATTGTTATCATTTTACTTGGTGTGACACTCAAGGACAATTGGATGGTCTGCTGTAGGGAGTCGTTGGTAATCCAGTTTTCCTTTGATATTGGATGATTTCGTGGAGACCCGGATAATGGGACTTCGGGGTATCATGTGAGCATCAATTATTTCGGGGGCATTGTCCTGGCCAACTTGCTGTCCACGTCATTGTCTTTCTGGATTATCGATGTTTGCTGGGAGTTAATCAGACTGTTGACTGCGTGTCATCGAACTTGAAGAGCAGTTGCTCAGGATCTTGATTTAAATCTGCATCCAAGTGGTAAACTAGAATCACTACCTTCGTCCAAACGCGAGTTTTTTGGTCATATCTCGGAATTAAGAGCAGATAGCCATATTTTCGTTAATATATTTTTTGCAGAAAAAAATTAGAGTTCCAAAAAAGGTATTCACAAAGATATCATAATTTTTGTTCATTTTCGAGATATTCGATGAAAACTTGCCTCGATAAAATGCACTCATCCTAGTTTATCAATTCGCAACAGAAATTACGTTCAAGTTTTTTAGGTCAATGATTGTATTTTTTACTCCGATAATTAATGGGTTGTGTATGATTTCGTGAGTGTATCTGTCTATTGTAATCACCGGTTTATTTTTCTCAGTGTCTAAATTTCAGAGATTTCCGCTGCTCCACAAACAAGGGATCAAGCTTATTTTTTCACTCTCTCAAAAATTCCGCATTGCGTCTCAATCAGCCATTTTTATCCAGCTTTACGATATAAACGTACAATTTATTTATGTACTTTTGATTGTGCGTTGTATATACAATAGCCTCGGCGAGCCAGCAAATGCGATGCATTGAATTCATGGAATCGGTCGGCTCTAAAAATATGGGGACAGCGCTCCTATTCTTGGATTGGATTTTTTTACATCACTCGATCGAGTAGATGCTCAAGTCCAGAAGGACTCGATAAAATCTATTCGAAATGATCATCAATTAGGATTTTATTTTATCTCCACTAAAATAAAATTCCTATTCCATCAGTATTCGACTGTCATGGAAATAAATTCCATAGACTCTCAAGATTGTTAAAAATCTCAAGTTGAATTTTCCCGGTTGAAGAATTCTAGAGTAAAAACTTTGTGGCGACACTGTTATCCCTCTCCCTCTTAAAAAATCCCAAGAACAGGAGAATTCTTCAGCCGAAAAAATATCTTCCTCATTATTCGTTGAAGAAACTTGAAACACGCACCTCCATTCACCCATCGAACTCCATACCACCACTTCCAAGTCTGTCAAGAGTTTCAGGTTCCCTAAATTTGGGTCATTAAATGCCGTCTGTACAATGGGGCGAGCAGAAAGTGCTCTTCCCCCGCTCAGCTCGAAGATGGTGGCAGAAGAGGGATAGAGTGCCCTGGAGGAACTTGACGAAGTTGTTCCATTTCGAATCAAACCAACACACCCCTACGCGGTTGAAATGAAGAGCCTCCATCAGATTTAATGCGATGGCAGTGTCAGGTGTCCAAATTCACGGTGAAGTATTGGTTTTGCTGAATGGGCTGATGCAGATTACATTGGACAATCTGCTCCCTTGAGAAGTTTCCAGAGTCCTAAGTCTGACGACAAATTCACCACCCGTTGCTGCATAAATTTAACTTCCAATTTTCCCGTCTCGACTCTTAAAATTCAAACTTCAATTCCATTATAATAATTATAAAAAAAAATAATTAGAGTGCACAAAGAAACAGAATATATTTGTTTCAAATGAAATTGTGCTGAATAATTGTTTCCAATTTTTTCCAATTTTTTTCGCAACTCCAAGCTACAAATTCTGAAGAAGAACTATTGACACTCGGTTAATAGAGTGGCTCATAATACAGCATTAAATCGACCTATTTGCGGTAAGACCCCTGGGAAAACTGAGACTCCAGGAGTCTCTCGGGTGGATTTCCCCCCGAACCCCGCGCCTGCACACGTTTTGGACACCGCTGGTCACGAACAAAGTAGTTTCATTGTATATAGTGCCCAGGGAAGCCTGAAAATGACCTCAGTGGCCATCTCCACTTGTCTCTTCCTCTCGTCACACACATCAGACACTAGCATCCAGTAATAGTGGGTCAGAGAAAAACACCCCCTTCGACAAGTGGAGAGAATTTTCCAGAGAATTTTTCCGATTCTTCGTGTTATCGGTGTTCAGCGAGAACAAGCCTGCCACTCGTCGTGTAACAACGATTGTGAGTTGTAAAATTTTTTAGGAACTACCTCCACATGCCTAATCTCCCACATCTAGGGCGTTATCATTTGAAATATAAAATCTAAATTATTAAAGAATCTAATCACATTCAACGAATACCATTATTAATCCCCGCATCGGAAGTATGAATTTCCCAATCCTACATGAAGCTCTGAATCGAGAATACGAATGTTGGAATCCTCAATATGAATTTCTGAATGTTGTTTATTTTTTTAATTTTTTCATTATGTAGGAATAAACAGTTCAAGGTGGACTACGAAATAGTAATAACTAAAGGAGAAATGTGTTTTCTAGGATCGTGAATTTGTTGAGATGGAGGTGCCATACAATGGAGCACCGAAGCGTCCAGGCTCGCCATCACCGCTGACATCACCAGCTCACAGTACAGCATCACGCGGTGGCCTCCTGCAGTCATGCTGCGGTCGTTGTTATCCTCAGCGTTATCAGGTACGCGGTCGGCGCATTCTCGTATCTAGGACCTCTATCAGCGAGGGTCCGCCGTCCTCATCCACCCAATCACATCAATCTCAACCACTTCAGGGACAAACGCGTTTTGCCGATCCAATAGCTGTACCAAGTGTTGCGTTCAATGTGCCCGGTGATACCGATAAACGGCGATTAAATCCAGACGCGACAACCAGCTCTTATAACGAAACGCGAGTATAAAAAAAATCGATGAAATTTCCGCTGTCGTAGAGCAATTGACGATAAATCGATTTTTTTTTTTTTAATCGTACCGTATATCGTATTAGGGGTAGAATGACAGGGTAATGGTGTGTGTTAGGGATGAAGATTTTGGGATGCCGGATGTAGGTATTCGATACAAATCATCAATTTGATTTAAAATTTTTAATGATGAATATATTTTTCGCCCACGACTGACGCGATAAAACATTCTAATTATTTATATCGATAATTATGATAAATGAATATTATATTTAAGGGACAATTTATCGCGTTTATCCTAGCAGAATTCTATTCTCCAGTTTCTGGGGAATTATTTACATTAGTTTCGAATTTATCAGTTGGAAGATCGCGGAATTAATGCAAATGATTTTCTGAATTATGGTAGATCATGATGGCGTCATAATCATGAGTGATAGATTCGATTTAGTAGAGATTGAAAGGATGTGGACATTATTTTCAGTAGAATTACCATGGGAAACAGTATTAATGAAGGGTTTGATTGAAAAACGAGCTTCGGGGATGTGACATGTGGTGATCCCTTGATTTATCACCCAATGATCATTCGTTACTAGGGGGTGAGGATCATGGAATGTTGAATTATTATTCTCGTATGTGCCAATGAAGATTATTCTGTTGACTCGTTACATATCAGGATTTGAGTGGAAAGAAATAGTGAACTCACACGCGTAATTAGTCTTGCCACGGTGCAGTCTATTTTTTTCTTATCAACGTATAAGGTTTTATTATCAGTTTTTTTGTGGGTTTTCCAATTATTTAAGTAGACATTTTTGTATATCAATTACTCGATTTTCTCTCTGACATTTCGGTAATTCATACAAAAAGAGGGCTTCAATCAAATGTTTTCCCCGAGCAACTTCAATCGTGTAATTAAGTTGTGATGTAATTAAACGAATAAATTATGATGGGCAGAGGGTGAGGGGTTTACCGTGCGAATGTTGACAATCATGTTCTTTGGGGATGGGAGTTGTCTGAATGGTATCAGTTTCCACACGCGTTCTGTGTCAGGGGCTTTTGAAAACTGATAAGAAGCTCCTCGACGAGTCGACGGTTTCTCAATGGGAATTTGGATCTATAATTTTGCGCTCAATGAATGTTATCGGCTTCCAAAGAATCTCTGTAATCAATGCAAGGGAAATCTTTTCTTGAGAGTTTCACCGATTGTCTTCCACTTTCAATGATTGCACAATCCTCCTTCCGTTTTATTCGGCGCACAAATAATTCATTTTCCTCGAAATTTCCTTCAGAATTCCTCAAAATAAAATTTCATAGAATTCCCTCTCTGCGATGAACTCTCCGTTGGTGAGGGATTCAGAGTTCCCGTTGTGAGACCGTGCATGTGGTAATTAGGAATCGTATTATAAAATAAAAAAAGATTTTCCACTTTGATGTGAGAAAATTTCATGGCCTCATTAAATCTCCAGGGGATGAAGGCATTCCTAATCCCTTCGCCTTTGAACTCACTAATTTCTCTCTTTCATTACCGAGTGGGACCTAATCGTGTGCTATACGATGAGAATGGGTGGATAATTAAAGGGAGAGGAAGCGAAAAATGTACATACATTATTGAAAAATCAATCGACCATTGAAGTATTGAGATATCGCATTGAGTTCTTGAGTTGATTTAGTCATTGATGAATCTCTCGCTTGGATCACTTACGATTAATTCATTCAACTAAGAAAGCGATTAATGATTAACAAACGAAGACTCAAAAATTAGAAAGTAAGGTGAATTAATTACGTTTAAGGCGAACGAATGTCTTAATGAGCCTAGGAAATTACGATTAAGATAGTTGGATCGTTGATTGGAGTGAAGTGATAAAACGTGATATCAAATACAGAATTGTTTCGTTAATTATTGAAAAATACATTTTCAGTTTTAACTTTTACAAACAATCATTGAAGGTCATCTGTAAAATTTCAGATCAAAAGTCTTTGATAGTATTCATTAAAAATTTTAGCAGCTGTGAAGTTAAATAAAGTTTATAACAATTTCTCGTGGAAGCACGAGCCACGGACGCAAATCATGTTTTATCACAGCACCTTCTAGATGACCTATGAAAATGATAAAATCAGTCATAAAAGCAGATAACTAGCTAGTTTTTCTCCTCATCGATTGTGCCATAGGCCTAAATCGACACGTCGCGTGATCCAGTGTTCGATCGTCGTAACCTAACCTGAATAAATAATAATAAATAAACAACTTAACTGAATCAAACGAAGAAACAGCTGGACTCAATGAAAATGCAAAATTAAATCAGAAACCCCGATAATAGGATAAAAATTATTAAATCAAAAGAGAGAGTTCAGATGTCTCCTCGGACCTATTTTATTTCACTGGATTTAAATTCCAGCAAGTTTATTATTAAATGAAAAATAATTCAGTGTAAAAAATCGGTGTGACATTGAATCACTCGTTTTATAATAATTTTTCATTTCCGTTCACTTGTGATAAATCACGTCTCGTTAATTATCGATTATATTCGGAAGTAGAAAAATTACGGAATCATCAGGTGTCAGGCATAATTATACTCCGTAATTAATAGATCAAGTAAAAAATGAGGGGCTTGAGGTGAGTGAGTACTTGAGACATTCCAACGAGCGAAACGTCTTATATCTTATTAATCTGTCGTAATTATAATCAGGTTAAGAATGAAGTTCATTAGTTATGGGGGGTAGAAGGGCTGACAGGGGAATTATTCGTTAAATATCGCGATGTATTAGGCGATTCTAGGGGAAGATCGTCGCAGTAATGGAGCGAAAAATCATAGAGCCTTAATTACCAAAATGTGCTGATGACACTGGGGGTGGGGGTTTATTAATATCTCCACTGAATCATGTGGAGTCGTAATTCATTTTCGCGTACAAACGAATGCGCTTGATTAAATTCGAAATTTAATAATGGAGTTGTTGGATACTCCGGGCGAGTGTCAAGATCCTCGGAATTTATCATTCGGGGTGATTTTATTTCATTATCTGTCACGATTTAAAAGAATATTTAATTAGGTGTCGGTTTATCACTGGATTGATAATTTTTATTTTTTATTCATATCCGTGAATTATGAATTATGAATTTCGGGATAGAGCACATGAATTCCTGAATCGAAATTCATATTTTCGATTGAGGATTCAAATAAATTCTGATGGATTTAATTTTTTTGTTGTACAAGTGTATGAATGAGGATGTATATGGATGAGTTTTTCTGTTTTAACACTTCGCTGCAGAATTTTGGGTAAATCGTGAGGATTGTCACCCCGAGTAACACCCAAAAGAGGTACCTAAGTCTCAAGTGTACATCTATCTTCGTTTACAACGATATACACAACCCGGAGTGCGTTGCATACCGTCTGTGCACTCGCGTGAGTTATTTTCCACCGGCTTAAATATATATATTCACCGAGTGCAGTATTTTCCCTGGGGGTAGGAATATGTGCGCGTGGAAAGCCACACGTACCGCATGCGGTTCCAGCTGCGACACCTCTTTCCGTTTTCATTCCATATATGAAAGGAAATTGAAATTATTTTTCACGCTCACCAACCTATATTTCATCTGCACCGACGAGCATTCATCATTCTGCGGATGATAAACTGGAGTTTGTAATTAAATTGAGGGTTGATGGATTTTAGCTGAGTCGGGAGGAATGGGGTCTCAGGCAATTTCGATCGATAACCGGGCAATTTTCGGCGACACTAGACTTGACGAGAATCTTATTCCACCGAACCGTCAGAATGTCGAGGGAAATATTTCTGGGTTGAAGGATCACTCGGTCCTCGGGGAATTCCTCGACAGGATTATCTATGATACCGCCTACAAAATTCGGACATTTGTATTTTGTGGAAAAAATTGTAGATATTTTAGGGAAATTCTCTGTTCATCTGGATTTTTCGATTTCCGGTTAATCGAAGGATCCACCTTGATTGAAGTTCCCTCGGGATTCGCCATCGAATCGAAATTCTCTCGGTGTACTTTTTCATTTCCTCGTACCCGTTTCAAATCGAAAATACATAAAAAGTCTTGAAAGTAAAATAGCGAGGCAGATCGATAGCCCCTCAATTTGAAGAGTAGATCGAGGTGGAGAATGAGAGATTGAGTCGTAAAGAGTGAAATTGAATTGAAGAGTAGAATTGTGAGAGAGGATAAAGGACCTTTGGGGGTGGAAACATTTTTTTCTAGTCCTCCCAGGTCGGAGGCATTTATCAGCATCTATACGTGGGAAATGCACGTGAAATCAATTATTAGTTCAGAATAATTGGGGTTTAAAAAAAAATTTCTTTTCGCCCGAGGGCGGGAATAAAAAAATATATTCATGGGGATCGAGATCGGACGGAAGAAATTAAATTCTACAGGGGCACAAATCACCGGTATCGTGCACTTGTGATAAGAATTTCTTAAGAATTTCGCGGTGTTGGTTGGAAAATACTTTTATGGGCTCAGTGAGGCGATATACCGTTTTCGTATCTCACTTTCTTTCATAAATTTCGCTACATCTAACACGGAAGTGCCCATCCCCGACGTAAAACTGTTTCATGTACCATAAAACCGTGGAGAATCAGAAATTCTGGATTTAATTCATTCCGGAAGACAACTGTCTACTTCATATCGAAGTATTTATGGAATTTCTGAAACGAGAATTTTTATGGCAGACAAGTCTGGAAATAATTCTCGTCGTCAGAAAAATTCCCGGTGAACCACAAATTATCGTAATTTGATATCCCGTTAAATAATTCCTTGAGATAAATTAAATTCCCGCTGAATATCTCAGGATCCCCCGATGCCTTTGGGATCGATGTAAACAAAATCAACAGATATAAAGTTTCTTCCAACTTTACGTATTTCTCTGACCCCAGGAAAATTCGTAAACATCTTAAATCCCGAAGAGTTTTTGCATTCAATCTCCGAGACATCAGCGAAAACATTTTCCCCCGAAACTTGTTTTCGTGGTATTTCGTCTAGTGATCCCTTAGAAAAATGGAGGAAAAACTGAATAAACAATTTACTGGAATTATACAGAAGCTTTACTCAAAATAAATACATTGTTTTCGCGGATGAAGCTTCACCATTTTTTCGTACATAATTTATAAATTCTTCCTTCGCGCGGACCAATCGACGATTTACCGATAAATTGGGGGAAACAATGAGCACTAATTTCGGAATTTTGGTGGATACTATGATGTAACACGAGTTCGTTTTTATGAATAATGCACAGAGGAAGGAGCAGCGGGAGGGGCATCCACTCCAGATGAGCCAGGCAAGAAGAAATTGAATCTTGAGTGTCCGTTAACCCACTCCACTTTGAAAATCAAACCCCCAAGTGCTACGTCAATTATACCCCCACCTTTTTTTATCTCCACCCTTTTGTGCCTCGTCACTGACCCAGTAATGAGTCGTTGACACTTTTGTCTCCCACTTTATCTCACCGTTTGTCGTTTATAGCCCTAATCTATTCTGGTATGACCTTTTGTAAATTTATCAGGGTTTTACATTGATTATGTGACTGTTCTCCTCTTCTCCTGGGAAATTCAAGTTTATCGCTGTTTTCGGTGGCTCCATTACACCCACTCCTGTAAATTTGTACATAAGCTGTTTTCATTGAATAAATTATTATAGAGATTATCAATTTGATATTTTCTCCGAATTACGGGTGATAATACTGATAGAGTCGATTGGATACGCAGAATCGCTGGGATTTCGTTGAAATTTTCCGTAACACCGGGCAAACATGTAACCGAGTGAAACTAATTACACTGATCGTTCCAGTTGGACGAAAACGAAACGAAATTCTCCTGTTAACTCATCCCACCGCAAAATAATTAATTTCCTCTGGGGGTTTTCGGTGGAACTTCAACCGTCGATCCAAACCCTGACAGTTACCACTTTTGTCTGTTTTAATGGATAATTTACGTAATCAGTCCGCCGAATTTTCCTCAAGAAATTGGAACATTGAATTGCGGTTATCCCTTGAATTATTGTACCCAGGGCGAAGTCGGGGATTACCCTCCGGTATTTTTAGCTAGAATCCATGAGGGATTCATGTCGCGGCCTCTCGGAGAAGACGTACCATCATTAATATTAGAAAAACCTCGTAATTTATTGAAAAATCCACTTTATTACGGCTCTCGGAGGATATAAAGCCCTTTCTACAGTACCCGCTACATTTTTATTCAATTATTTTCCCGTCACGGTACAATCTTTTTCTTAAGTATTAAAAAAACATTAGGCCCCGTAAAATTTATTCGTTCTGTGTAATTCCCGATGAAAAGTGGATTTTTCGATGAGCCACACACTATTAGAAAAAAATGATATTTCAAATGATAAATTGAAATTCATTATTTCGAGGACAAAGAGAACAATTTTTTTTCTGGTCAAAAATATCGGGAAATTGAAAAATCATTTTTTGGGCAGAAATATATTTTTTTTCTCAGTGTGGTCACAATCAAAAGGGCGTCCAGTAGATCTCAAATCGGAAAATCGTTAGTTTAGGGGTGACTGGCGTGCAACAATGTAGTGTGTTGTTTGTGGTGTGGATTTCAGCAGTACATCCCAGCAACAGTTGCCGAGGCCTCAACTGGCCAGGGCGGACAGACGGGTGTCGCAATGGACGGGACATACCTCGTCGAGGCCTCGTTCTGAGACATTCCCTCTCGCAAAATCTAAACCTCGAAAAAAAAAACCTCAAACAAAAAAAAAATAAATAAACAAAACGGACTCGATTCCACCCGCATAAGATCAGACAAAAAAATTGATATCAAGTGGTCGAAGTCCAGACTTCACGCAGTCTCCACAAAAAAAATGTCTAGGAATCAAAGTTTAGAGCAAGAAAAAAAAACCATGTGTTATCCACGAAAAACCGTGATAAATCAAATTCTTCTATTTCCCTATTTTCGTGCCACCCACGATGTGTCTGAACGTCTCGTCACCATCCAATCATCATCCTGCTGATCACCGATCGACGACACCTGGATAATTCCATTAATTAACATCATCAACACTCCGATCATCGTTTATCGTTCATTCCGTTATTGTCTCAACGAAATATTTAACCTGACGAATGACTCAATGGATATGACTCGCCATGATGCCACCTGGATGACATTGAAAAATCTGAAATATTATTGACCAATGGCTGTCTTGATTTCAATCGATTGGAAATCAATAAAATATTTTAATAAAACGCGTGAAAAACGTTCAGAGCCTTTCGTATCAGCTGACATCGAACGAGAGCAAGGATAGAGTGGTCCTAGTATACGGTGATCGCATACAAGTGCGAAAAAAGGTAAAGAACCCGTTGGAAAACGAGACGAGTTCATTAACACGATTTGCAAAAAAAATTATCGACCAGCGAAAGACACGTCACTGAACGTTCTGTGTTAATTATTTCATGTGGCACACGTCGGGGAGCGGATGGAGGTGGCTGTGCTTGCATTGGCTTTTTCCACTTGATTTGGAAAATTATTATTTTATCGATATCGCTAACAGGCTGGGCGCACGCTTAGTGCTTGTTAATATTTTTTATTTAATCACTCTTGGGACCAGATCAAGACACTGAGGGATCAACGGAAATTTTGTGTGGCACTTTCGCTTCTTGTCACTATCTGCATTTATTCTTTTCAATTCCCATCTTCTGAGGACCACCCGCAGAAAATCCATCCGCAATTATATCAAGTCAGAAAAATGTATCGATGGACGGACGAGAGGTTGTGCGTATCCTTGAAATTATTTTCAATCCCTTCTCCATTTTTTTATCCCGAAAACCCTTCCGGTCTGATAAATCGAGAACCTGCATAGGTCACCAGGGGTTCTCTCGGGTCCGACGACGAGACAACCCCAAAATCCAAAATTAAATAAAAAAAAAAAATCAAAAAGTCTCACCGAGAAATTGAATTGAGAAACCAGCAGAAAGACAATGACACCCCGACAAAAGTGGATTTAATTCTTTATTGATGCAGCCGTTGGGAAAATTTTCCCGATTCATCACTGAAATATTCGTTATCACCTGTGACAGCAGCGAATGAGGTCTAACGAAGGCAATTGCAACGGACAATGGAACCGAGGATTGAAGAAATAACGAAAAAAAATAAATAAAAAATAAGAGAGAATTGAAAATTACGTGAGACCTCATTGTCAATGTGCTCGAGGATCGTTGGCAGAGAATAGGGAGAATTGCACGCCTTTTTCTCCACTTTTTTATAGACACCCCTCCCCGCCCCTTCCATTTCTTCTCTCCATTCGCCACTGTTTATTCCAAAAGTCGAGTTGCACAGAGTCACGTTTGCATTGCACTGCACAGTACATTTGTAAATATTTAAATAGCCGCAGCGTCGTATATACGGCAAAGTATACACAAACCTTTGTACTCCAGAGCCAAAAGGCATTATTATAGTTACACCCACCCCCTCCCACCGGTTGTTCAGTAGTTGTTGTTGTCTTTTCCCTGTAGGCCCGTAGTTTTCGGTGTTTAATGTTTTAATCACATTTTACTAGCTATTTAAATATTTCATTGATCATTAGTGTTTACTCAATAAATAGTCGTTGGGTTTATTTTATTAATGAGTTTATTACTCACATGTGCACTGCATCCTATTATTTATTTATTTATGGGAGTGGATTCTGATGTGGATTTTATTGAAAACGATGTAATTACTTAAAAATTGAATTCTAAAAACAATTAGAGAGATTTTTGTCTGAATAACAGATTGATAATCGATTAATCAATTTGCAAGTTGTCGCGAATTATCGCTTTTCGAATGATTCCACAGAACTGGGAATTCTCTCGTCTGTAAAAATTCCTTCTCTTAACACTCGCACTGTTTCAACATTTTCAACATTTTCTCTCCACTGGTTATGAATAATGAATTTATATTTTTAATGCATAAGTGAGCGAGTGGTGTGTGCACGATTATTCTCGAGTCAATGAAGGATCAATTGCTCCTCTCCTCTTTCTCCCATCACCGAGGAAGAAATTATTTGGACGTGAAAATTTGCCGTGACAGCCGATCGATTCTTGATCCATCCAAATGACTTCGACGGTGAAGTGATAAATCGACAAAAAGAATCGTATCATCACCAGAAAAAAAAAGCCACTCATTATCCCTCGGAAAGATAAATAATTCGACATCTTTGATCACTTCACTCCGACTTATCCTCCCAAAGCATTAACTTCCGGTTTTATCTTTCCCCCGGCATGAAAGGATGAAAAAACGCATCAACCAGCAATTCCTTCCCTCCAAAATCTTCCGTGAAATTGTCCACCCCTTCGTGTTCTTAGTCTCCCATCGGGTCAGACTGACAAGTGGAAGCGAAAGATAAACAAATCGTAATGATAAATAAACGAGAGATGGGGAGAGGAAGCGATCGAGTGAAAGGACGAATGATTTATTCTAACAGAATTGAGTTGAATCGAACGAGTTCGACAGAGATAAAGTGAGACAAAAACAGATTGAAAAATTTGCGAAATGAAAATTGTTCCAGGACCTTAAGAAGCGCGGTTCCCACACCTGCGACATGCAGGCCCTACAGCCACTTCCGGTTCCCACCAACACCACTGCGCCTGCCATGACAACTTCCGGTGTCCAGCCACCACTTCCGTTATCGGAGAGCGCTTGAGTAAGATCGAGAATGATCTCTTCTACATCGCTAACGCGTTGATCCATCGAGTCAACAACAACGATTGTATCGCCTTCTGGCTCGATTGAACGAATCAACGGCCGTCTGGCCGATTTTACGGTGAGCCTACTGAAAACAAATTCAAAATTTATTCAACACTTTTTTTTTATATATATATTTGTGAACATTTGTTGATTTAATCACGTAGCGAGCCTCGAATTATTCATGGAAAAATTGGTGGAATTGTTGAAAGCCTTTCCGATAATTGGGAATGTATCCCGAATCCTCGGACCCAGTCCCAAAATCCTTGTTTATACTCGTGCTCATGACTTATTCGTAAGAAATAATTTTTTCCTGGGACGAATCGAAAAAAAAAATTATGGGTGATTCCGGCGGTAACGATTCCGCGGATTTCACCCGAAAAAGAATTCGTTTGAATGCCATCGAATTTTTTTTCACTTAAACAAATTAATTCTTTCAATTCTTTAATTATTTAATTTTTTTTTTTGGAATAGAGAAAATTACGGGAGAATTTTGTGATTCCCTTGCGCTGCGGAAAAAACCGCGGAATTGCGTGAAAATCTGGTAATTGATTAATTTTCAGGTTATCCCTGTCTTCCGGTGAATTAGTTTCTAAACAGATGGAGAACTGAAAGTGGCCCCAGTGGAAAGCGAGGAAAATTCCCGACGAATAAAACTTCCCCGATATAAATGATAAAACTTTCGCCTCGAAAACTTCCTCCCGTATTTCTTCCAGTTCCGAAGTGAAAAAGCTCGTCATATTGTATTTTCCATCGGAAATTCTCCGGCTTCTCAATGAGTTGACTCTATCCCCTCGAGTAAACACTCGAGAAAAAAATACAACTCGCGATCTCTGTGTAAATACAAAACAGAATAGTTCAAGCCCTTCGTCTGGAATCCACATCAATCGAGGATAGAGCACGAAAAATAAATATACTCGAATTCCTTATATTTCCCACTGAAAGGACTATGAAAAATATCTGTGCTCACAATATGTGCAAAGTACCATCAATTTTCAATTAAAAAATCGATAATCACCCGATTCTACCATCCAAAACAAACGAACCTACATTTTATTCGGCGAATATCTCAGAATTGAAGAGAGATACCGATATTTTCATAACCACCATTCTCGTAGTTCTCAAAATTTTCTACAAAAAATGTTCTAACCGAAATATCACTATTTCCCTCCAATTTCGAGATATCATCTGAAAACTGGCGTCGGAAGAAAGCTCGTATCCCAGTTCACGACTTCGTGGAGGAAATGGAATACAGTAGACGCTAGGGTAAAATCCAGATTAAATTATATTCTTTCACCCTGAGGATAGATGGGGTGGAAGAAAATGTCGGAAGTTTGCGCATGTGTCTGTGGTGTATCGAATAGGGGCTGAACTCATCGATAATCGAGTTCTCTTCGCTTTACCTTCAATCTCAGTCTCTCATTTTCTCTTAAAAGCCGAGAAACAGGCGAGTGTCATGACGCTTTGGGAAAAATATATCTACATGAACACTCGGTTAATCTTCAACTCATTTCACATTTAAAAAATTGCTAATGAAATCGAAAGCCGGATTTCACCTATTACCGATTATAATGGAGAAAAATTCCGGAAAATCCCGAAAGAAATTAGAAACTTACGAATTTTCTCGTATCTCAGGCCCATTTTGAGTCCCGAATAATAATAATCGTAACATATTTGCAAAAAAATCCATTGTTGTTGTAAGTTCCAAGTATTTTTATTTTAGAAGAGGGCAGTGTCTGGAACAATTGATTTTGTTGAATATTTCTTATCAGGAATTCTCTTATCAGAAGCTCGTTATCTCATTTCATAATAAAAAAATAACTCGTTAATTCCATGGGGCAGACCCATTCGACCCCTGAAAATAATTCATTTGACGTCAATAGAAAGGGTAATCGAAAGAGTATTTATATTCCTTTGAAGTAGTTCAGCTGAACGTAGGGTCAGACGTGACTCTAAACTTGGCTAGAGTGGTAATTAATTAACCCTGACCCTTTCACCTTTTTATCCGCCATCGTTAGGGATCAGAAGACGAAAAAAAAAAATGAATTCCAGGGGAATCCTGTCCTGGAGAAGATCCAATTGATATGAAAGCTAAAATGCTATCTCACCTCTGGACAGAGGATCACGTTCAGGAGCTGAAGAAAAAAATACGAGAGGATAAATAAGATAAACCAGAAAGACTCGATTGAGATTTTTTGGGATTGGAGGAGAGTATCCGGGCCGCCATTGTGATTCTGCTTTTTTTTTTATTCTCCTCCGGAGGATCGACCCTTAGGGTTTCAGGAAGGGAACGACATCTGAGGGCTGGGAATGGGTTTCAGGAAGCGGAAGTTGATCCTGAAGATTCTTGATGATCTGATGCTGACTGGAGATCAATGCGGTTTCACTCGGGAAAACAGAGGCAACTTCTGGAAATCACCATCAGAAAAATATTGGAACACAAAAGTCTCTTTACTGTCCATTAAATATAAACGCTTGCCCGAGAGCCTCTGGCGGTTGACAATCCCGTCCAACTCCAATTGAAAATTAAATATAAATTCAACTAAAACTCAAAACAAAACCAGAGGCCGGTCGGCTGGAATATTGTACGCCATTCTTACTCCAAAAAAAAAAATTGATTTCAATTTTAAAAAATTTATTTGCATGAGAGAGATTTTCGTTTAAATTCAAATAAGTCCTGGGAATTCAATATCACAGCAAAAATCTGGAAAAGTCTATTGTAGTTTCATTTCAATTCGAACAGGAATTTTTTTTACTGAAAACTGAAAGTTCTGGCGAAACCAGATATTAATCAATCAAATTAATTTACATTTCAAGTAACAAGTATATTCTGGCTCTTTAATATATCAAAGGAAAATTTTCTACTCCAGTTCCACGTGAATTCGAATAGGATTTTTATTTTCCTGGTGGAAATTGCAAGTTCTTTTCACTTGAACCTTCAAGGGTGATACTCCAAAAGGGGAGGGCCCGGAAGGCTTTTCCTTGTATTTCCCAGTAAAAAAAAAGAGACGAAGAGAAAAATGCGACGCGTTTATTCAGTGCTCCAGGGACGCTCTAAAGTGGGTCCATTGTCTCGAAAAACCATGGAAGGTGTTTCTGGATGCCGGATGTAGAGTGAACGGAGAATAGAGCTGCAGATATAGAGGCGTTTGGAATTGCTTACGAGGGCCAACACTCTGTTTTCCAAGGGAATAGTTTGAAACAATGTGGTTGTGCTTATCGATCATGGGGGTGGAGAAGATACGACGAATCGTGCCTCTGTATTTTGTCACTATCTCTGTTTCCGCTTTTCGGTGAGGGAAAACGGTATTAATGAATTCGCGAATTTCAACTGCAGAAATTCATGAGCAAGAGACGACTTTTTTTTTATATCTCTCCGAAAGTGATTTTAAATTCAAATTTTCCGGCAAATCCATCCCCGATCATTTTTTTTATTTCTACTTTTTGAATTCACTTTTACGAACTGCGAATGGAGCCCTAGTTTTTCAGCTAAACCTCCAGAAAGTTTATTGTATTTATTTTTTTTTTGCAATCGGCGGATTTGATTGATTTGTTTTTTTTTCGGATTTTTTTTTCTCGGTCTGATTTGTATCCGCTTTGGAATTTTATTATAATTTTCCTGATTTCGGGGAATCGATTCTGATGATCGATTGATCGACTTGTCGAGGAATTGCGAATATTTCTGGATAATTACAATTGCTAATTACCACTTACCTCATGTGAATCCCAAGAAATCGAGGCTCGCTACGGTGGAATGTTCAGAATAAAATAAACAATCTGGAAATAATAATTTCTCTATTAGGAACATTAACGACGGATAATTGTCGTTATTACGTCACAGCTGGACCCTCGATGAAGCTAAATCCTCGGAAACTGGAAATTGGACTCGACGAAGTCCCAAGAGATCGTCCCAATCGCTGCAACATTCGAAATTAATGAAAACGATTAGCCTAATATGGTTTTACCCAACTCTCCATAACGTTAATTATCTCGCATAATTGTACGCGGAGTGGAGGTGATAAAAAATTCATTTGTATTTGCTTGATTAATATTAACGATAAAAAAAAATACCCTCGTTCTTTCAGGCGACAAAATACTGCGAATCCTAATGAATAAATTCGAAATAAATTCGAAATAAATTCGAAATATTTGATCATAGTCTCGAGTCATAATTAAATCGAATAAGTAAAACAAATTAATTAATTAAGTAATAACTGGCACTGCGTCGATCGAGGTGACGCCATTTCCTTTGTAAATAATCTTGTAATGAAACTAGTGTTGTACTTGATGATCAATTGATTAATTAATTAATGGTTGATTAATACAATCTGTAATTTTCATGTAATTATCCGTCGAGCCAGACACTCGTTACGAATAAAACGATCGGGGTGACGATCGATGTATAAACCGGGAAAACGTGATTCGAGATGTGGATAAGTATTTTATTTAAAACTCTATAAGTATGAAATATGAATGAATTCTAAATAATTCCAATTATTTAATGGAGACGCCAAATATTGTCGAGTGAGATTGATTCTGGATAATGTGCGGTTGAACCGGGAAGTCAGAGTCCGGGTGCATAATTAGTAATTAATCAGAGATTGACGAAGTGGTAAAACGCGATGAATTTGATCAATTATTTTTGGTAATTCTTTCATTAGCTGTGAGCAAATTAATAACGTAATTTGGTTAATAGTTATCGTCACGAATAGGCGAAATTATTCTTGAATAATCGGTGATTATTATTATTATTATTATATTATTGATTTCGGTGATTACTATTTTTTATTTGGAACTCATGTGTTACCCTTTCAATATAAATTTTTATTGTTGATAATTTTTTGAGAGTGAGAAATCGTTGGGACTTGGAATAACATTGATGATTAATTTAGTGATGGGAATTTGGGAGACGTCCATGTTTGGATTAATAGTTAATTGTCGATATAGGGAATAATTAAACGTTAGTGCAAGAGTTATAACGTGCTCCAAGTACCTCGCGATAAGCCTGTGAGACAAAAGCCGATATTGTGGGTGGGTAGATTTATATATAGATGTGAAAATGACTGGGTGAGATCGGATGGGGGATGCAGAGGGTCGATAGAGTGGCGCCCTCTCAAATCAACCTGTTGCTTCTATACTTTTCTGGGTAATTCGTGAATTTAGCGGAGTGAAATTCGCGGAGATTTCCCCTCTGGTCTCGCCTACTCCCATTTTTTTTTTTACCTTCTTTTACACTATTTTTGATGGTTTTTCGGGTCAAGTGTTTCATTGTCATTGCCACTTTGAGATGAAAGGGAAGGAGAAAAAAAGGGAGTAAATTCCCACATTTTTTTCACGTCAATTTTACCACGGGAAAAATGCAGATCAATTTGTAAGCAATGGGATATATTCTCCTGTGAGTAATATTGAGGAAATTCAACCCAACGCATGACCTTATTCGTGTCCCATAATTTTTATCACATTCCACTGAAGTGAAACAATAAATAATTTTTTCAAGTACATAATGCGAGCTGCTGGCGGATTGCGTGTAATTATTAGCTGTACTGCAAAACCGTCACGAACGATTTACGAGTAGATGATTTTCTCGGTGTTGTGACTGTAGACGTGTGTAAAGAGCATTTTTTTTTTGAGCAATAGGAAATGAAATTAAAGTAAATTCGTAATTAAAGGAACTAAAACAATAAAATGAAATTCCACCCACGTGCGAATGATTTCACGTGTGAAAGTTGAGGAAAGAAAGGGCGGATTGAGGAAATGAAATTGAAGAATAATAATTTCAAAGTGGGCGTTCAGTTCGTCGTCTCCTGGGGCGTGAGATGAGTAAGCAATAAATAATTTAATAGAAAAAAAAAAATACATAACGAGTCTTTCAATTTACTACCGTACTGCCAATATTTTCCGAAGCAAACGTCTAATTACTCGTATGAAGTAAGACGTTTAATCGTCGATGTAAATTTCCGTAAAGTAATTCATATTTTAACTTTTCGAGCATTAATTCTGGTTTAATGTCTCCAGTCTGAAAATTCCTAGAACTCGTTAAATATACCGTGTATTATTATTATTATTGTTGTTGTTGAGGTAATTCCACCAAATAGTTGTAAATAAACGTAATTTGCGTTAAAATTTTTGGTGTGCACATTTTATTGTGTTGTTTAATTTTTTTTTAATGAATATTTGGTGGAATGAGTACCTTTTTAAAACCACTATTCCACTCGAAAAGCCTCGATATTGTTTGTTGTGTCTTCACACGTAAAAATAGTTGGTAAATAAAACTGCGAAGATTATTAATTAAACTTGATGAATCGGTAAACCAGATCTGCAAGTTAAATGAGATGAATAAATGAAACAATGGATTTATTGAATACAATTCCATCGACAACAGTCACTCGGAATTATTCGTCGTTACGTATTCCATTAATTATTTTATTGAATATAGTAACAATTGAATGACTCCTTGTTATTGAATTTCTCGGTTGGAGAATCAGTGAATCGAATTGTAGTCTATGAAGATCAGATGATGATTGTATATAGTGAATATATCAGAAGGAAAGGGGAAAATAAATCAATTACTAGAATTGGTCTCTCGATTCAGATGTCGAGTGATTAAAATTCATTGAATAAACAGAGTAATTAAATTTCATTATCCAAGTTTTATCGAGACTTTGCCCATATTTTCAATCGATTGTTTTGTTGATATTGGATTAAAAACAAATTGCAATGAAAAATGTTGGATTATCCTGCGGTTGAAAGCTGTTCTAAAAGGATCGAACGCCGATGAATTGATGAAAGTAGATAGTGTGAGGAAAAAAAATTATAATCCTTTTCCCCCGGTGTGAAAAGGTTCGACAACGATTTGGGTCGAGCTCAAATGAGATCTGGGTGGCGAGGAAAATTCGGGAAATGGAACGATTGCGATTGGAATGCGATGGGGATTTTTATTTTCAATTCGAGGCCAATTGCAAGACCTCAAATTTCCGCGCTCTCCGAATTTCAGACATTGGATGGGAGAGATGAATCAATCGAGACCGAGAAATTGAGAAAAATATATCGAAGGGTTATTACGCCCTCTTGGGACATCCTATGATTGAAGATGACATTGGATCAAGTATAAGACTTATTTTCTTAATTTTAATCCACTTTGCGCCCCAGAAAAACTCGAGTGTAAATTACGTTAACAATTTGGAACGATTGTACGAACTAAATCATTCCTTGGAAAATTTCCGCGGGGATTATCGATAATCAGGGTAATTGAATTATGTTTTGAATTATTTTTTTTGCTATTTCCAGAGTTCGCGATATATTGTGAGATGTGACAGATTGTTGGAATGACTGGAAATTTAGATAATTGGATTTGTCGGCGAAGTTGAAGTACAAATTTAACCGTAATTATTGATGCCCTTTGAATTATCGCTCATTAAAGCCAACGTCACGGACAGACTATCAACTTGATGGATAACCCCGTACCCCAGAGGGATGCGAAACTATTCGAGACCCATTTCTGCTCGTCCTAAATCCTCGAATCAAAGAGCCCCTCCCCCGGCGATTCGTTAAAGTTATTGTTTAGAGCGAGTGCAATTCACGAACAATAATAATTCTGCAGCGAAGTGTCAAAAAATATGAAAAACGGCAATGCCCCCAAAATTATCCTGAATTAATTAAACAATTGTGTTGTTCAATAATTTTTCAGTTGAGCATTGGCTGCTCGTTTTATTTCTACACCGCTTTCACAAAAACACAGAGCAAAAAATGAATTATCTAATGAACAGTGCGCAGAGAATTCTTTAAATATCCGGATGTCCTTCGCTCGAGGAAAAATTCTAAAATAGGATGTAAATTAATGGGAGCGGGATAGACAAGCGTTAGCTACAAAAATAAAACGACTGAGTAACCCATTGAGCGAATATAACGCCAATTGGCCGTGAGTAATTAAATGGGGGTATTTTTTTCCCCTCCCCTTGTGTTTATAAACTCCCATGTTGCACCACTCAACGAAAATTGTCATCCAGACAATTTTTAATCTGTGAAAAATCTCTTAATTGTTAATCCATTTTCTACTATCTAAATAGACGAAATGGTTTTATCCAATTCCCATGGATAAACAAAACTTTGGTAATGGTAATTGCACTTGAGAGTCGTGGGAATAATGCAAATGGTCATCTCGGTGAAAATGGGATGAGCGAATAACAGATTAAATGATAAATATTTAAAGCTCCATCGTGAGTGGAATTGCAATGTAAAAAAATATGAAATTAATGCCATGAAAATATAAAAATATAAACGACAAATGCATTCACTCAATAAATTATTTGTTGTTCTATAAACACCTGAATTGATTAATTCATCTACGTATCATTTGTCTGAATAAAATTGCAGACGTCATTGCTAATTGACAATTATTCAGTAATTGAGGTGAAAATAAAGAATTTTTTTTACACTGCAGTTGGCCCGCCCCATGACCGATGCAAAAAAAAAAATAAAATTGTTACTATTCAATTAGAGATGTTAAAGAGTGGCAGAAAGAGTGATAATCCGACGACCTCAATTCTATTTTCCGCAGTTAATAATCGATAGTTGACCCTGTAGATAACTGACTCGAAGAATTATTTCAGAATTCTATCTACAATCCGAGAATAAATAAATAAACGAAAAAAGCAACACTATTAATTCGTCAAAACTTTTTTAAACAAGATGTATTTTTAGGATGTAGCGTCGATACTTCGATAAACACTGAATGTATAAATAAACAGAGTAATTGAACTAAAAGGTGAATAAAGTAATTGCTAAACGACGGATATAAGACGTTTCGAGCTCGAGAATGGAGCGATGAGAGTGTAATGTTTGAGGAGAGAAGGAAATTTTATCAATCGTTGAAGTGTATAAAATTGTTTTATTGATTTATTTTTCTCTCTGAGTGAACGTGAATGAATTCTCGATCGTGGATCGATCATAAATCCAAGGGTTGGGGGTGGGGGGATACGAGACATTGCAAATGGAACCACTTTAATTATTAACAAGAATATATTTATTATTAATATAATGCGAAATCGATAAAGAGAAAGGATATATGAAAAATAAAGTACTGTCTTTATTCACGTTTTAATGTTGTTTATATTTTGATGAGCCCTATTACCCGACTTCCTTGTTCTATTCTGAGAGATGATTTCCAAGGATCACCAGAGAATGTCAGCTTGCTGTCACCAGGTGGAAATGCAAGTGAGTAATAATTTAAAGTGATTTTTACTGAAAAGAAATGAATTTACTGTTCGAAATGATAATTGCGTCCAGTACTGTCGAATAAAAAATAATTGAATATTTTTGCGCAGAACAATCAGGTGGAAATAAACAGACAATCTTAGATTCGCAATGACTATTTTTTAATAACTCGTAGAATTAACAATTGAATGGCGAAAAATACTTAAACCTCATTAAACTTAAAATGGTAATGCCGTCTCATTGAGAATGTGGACGTTGACAATTGCACTTTAAAGCCAAGTGAATCTTGAAAAAAACATTATAGAAAAGTGCTCCAATAAACGATGTTGAGAATAAAGAAGGAAAAGGGAAAGAGGAATCTTGAGAGCTTGTCGATGTAGATAGCAGTGGCTCGGCCCTGACAGCAGGTATCATATTGGACAGTGAATGGTCTCATAGGACTTCTGTTCCGAGACTCCGGTCTCATCGGTGTCTGTCAAAAATTAAAGTCCAAATTACCGGAATTACTCCCCAAATAATTAATTTTTCATTTTCCTCCAGTCAATTTCCATAATCAATGACAACAATAATGACAACAATAATGACAACAATAATGACAACAATAATGACAA